GAAGTCCATGGTAGCAGTTTTGCTGACCCTTAACATCTCAATGAAGTGTTGTTACAGATCAAGTGTTAAGGAGGATATTTGTGTCTGACATGGTAGCTGCAAACTTGGTTTTTGAGTGGAATGGCAAATACATAAGAAAATTCAGTGCTGGGATTTCTCATCCTTCCTGGCAGTTTCTGTCTTGTAAGTAGATGTGAATGGTTTATGTTGATACCAGAAACGGATAGAGTGTCCTTCTTGTATGCAGAATCAGAAGTGTAGAACCGAAAACGCTAGCTTGCTCAAGTATTTGGTAAGAAGGCTGTTTGTATGTGTGTCATGCTTTCTCACTGTCTTTCAAGTTCCTGTGACCAGAGCTCAAGATAAGAGAAGATGCTTCTTCTAAACCACATACAGAATAGGAAATATATCTTTGTTGATTATTACAGGCTAACTTGATATAGAGTAGCTCTACTAAAATCAGCACAATTTCCTCTCTACAACTGTATTTTTAAAGTATGAGATCCTCAAAAGGGAAGTCTGGATTTTGTGCCTTTCTGGCCTTAGTTGCACATGGGTTGCAGAGGTTCTTTGAACTACCACAGTACGAAAGTGCCAAGCTTCTGTCTTCTGGAGGAAAGATCAGTGTGAAAGGAAATTTTTCCAGTTTGTGCTGGATATGAAAATTCCTAATGATTTCCTCATTAAGTGGTGGCTAATAGAAGCGTTTAATAATAGGCCTGAATATTCCTGTCTCAACAATTACAGGTTTGCTTTTGAATTCCTTTGTCATGAGTAGTTCTGGGGGCATCAGTAAGGTTTTTTTTTCTAGGAAAGGGGTGGTCATATTTTGTATTTAGTTCTATGAAAGTTCAACCAACATGCAGATTTATTGGATAAAATAAGCTTCATCTAGGTTTTGCAGGAATAAACCAGTCTTGCTACTTTTTCAACTGGCTTTTGAAGTGGCTTCAAATACTGCTCTGGCCTTGGAGTTCCCATACAGATTTATATTGCAACTGCTTTCTCTTGTCTTTGTACTCTTTCCATTGCTCATTAATGAGGGAAGAAGTGATGACATCTTTAATCTGTTATTTCAGTGTCAAGTGTTAAGTTTTAGCAAACCTAAATGATTTCTCCTTTGACACTCTCTAACATCCTTCTCAGAGATTACTGCTCAGTTTCCAGGAAGGCACACTTTCTTTAGTGTATTTGGTGATTCATATGTCTGTAAAAGTCAAGCTAGCTGTCCTCCTCAGAAACAGAAGCTTTGTAAGAGTAGTACCCCAGACATCTTAGTAAGAGCATGTGCGTTTAGTCATAGAAGACTGTTCTACGTTAGAATCAGCTCATACTGGTGAGATGTTTGTTTAGAATGTAAGCATGATGCTCCTTAGCAATTGCAGCTGTTTCTCTTGGGTTTTGCAGTATTTTTGGAGTAAAGGCAATCTGATGTGTAAGTCTCTAAATCGGGTAAAGCACCTTACCCCCTGCCTTTCCCCACCCTAAAGTTTTGAAGCTTTCAAATCACAGCAACAATCAATACCTGTTTCAGGACATGGCAATGAAATATTTGCACAGGTGGTTGATAAAAGCTGTGTCTTACAGAGATGATGTCTAAAAGGACACTGGCTGTCCTTGAGAATAAATTTTTAGTATCTGATATGCTTTCTGGTTTGGGTGGTTTACGTAAATGAGGAACAAATCAAACAGCTAATTAATCCCATATAGTACCCTGATCCCTTATAGCAAGATCAGCTCTGAGATCTGCCTTGTCATTTTTTTCATAAAGTCACTTCAGGTTTTGTGGTCTCTTCTTTTTGGGCAGAGTAGATAGTTACAAAAAGTTTGCCTGTTCTTTTTCTTCAGGTGTAAATAACTTGTAGATAACTCCAAAAAAAGAATGTACCGATTTTTGGTCTTGCTGTTGTTACTGTTCCTAGTTTACAATAAAGCAATCAGTTGGTCACTGTAATTGAATTAGAAAAGGTTATGGTGGTAAGCCATATCTGACAGAGATTTCTAGACTTCATGTACCAGTAAATGAAGGATGGTGGTTAACCTACAGTTCATGGAGTGGTGTTCTTATGGCTAAAGCATTTTCTTATCTGCATGTTCGGTGTGTAACTCATCCTTGTAGGATGGCTCAGCATTGCACATATACTTTTAAGGGCACCAGAGTTGATATAGTGGTTTGGTTTTTAATTCTAGTGAAACAGTGAACGTTTTTGTTTTGTAAGTTTTCAAAGTGAGAAAGCTAGTAGTAGTCTTGATCTACTTTCTTTTGTAAGGAATTTCAGTACTGAGACGCTGTAAAATTTGCATCTACATCTTGGAGGAATTTTCATGTTATATTAAAAATTTCCTCTTATGCAGTAATGCATCTTAAACCAAGAAGCCAGTTAATTATTTCGTTAGAAGAAGCTTGTGATTAAAGCAGCCTCATGTGCTTGCCTTGTTCTACCCAAATTAAGGTTGCCTATTGGAATCAAATACAAATGTGCAAACTTGAAGTTTGGTAGTTCAGATTGTGGGAAACATCATATCTCCCATTTTACCAGTTTAACAAGTAAAGGAAATAACTAAATGGAGAAAACAGTTCTCTTGGTTTCCTTCCTAAATACAAAAATAAGTCAATGTGCATATTGTGTCCCTTCTCACCCCATTATGGCTTAGCTTGTTGTCCTAGTCTCTTACCAAAATGAGCTCAGCCTTTTAAGGAAGATTTGTTATTTGCCAGTTAGTATCTTGATGCTTTAATTGCTCTTTTAGGAGACATTGCCATAGTCTTGAGGAGTAAATTGAGCGTGTGCTTTTTTAATAGCTTATCATCGTACCGGTTGGATGCAATTAAACAATCATTGTGTGGTTTGTGCCTTCAAAATCATTATGTGTTGGCAAGTCCAGGCACTCATCAACAGTCCTGCTGCTAATTTGTCCTTCAGTTCCTTCTTGGTGTTTGGTTCTGTAAAAATGATTGAAGCCCAGAAAAGGGTCTGAGATGTAAAACTTTGGAGTTTGCAGTGCTTGCTGGAGAGTGGATTCTGGCTAATTCAGGGTCACACCATTCATCTAACAAAGTCTATGGGTCAGGTCTGATAATATATATTTGCCTGTCCAGAATACGCTCAGTCCAGTGACAAGAACTAAAAAACAGTGTTCAACACGGCTTCACAGAACTACCAGTGCCTTTTTTGTTCATTGTAGGTCATTCTCTGAAGAGCTGGCAGTGTTATCAATGAGGTACTTTCATCAGGCAGTTTATACCTACAACTGCAATAGTCACTGTCTACAGCTAGGTCCATGAAAGTGGACCTTGTTCATTGAGCACATTAAGGTCCATTTAACTGTGACAAATATGCTTCAAGGAGAGCCTCTGGGTAGACTGGAAATTTCAGCCCTTTTCTTCTTTGAAATCACTGCCCAATGTAGAAGTCAGGAGGTAGACTTCACCACCAAGAGAAACTGAGTCTTGTGACTTTCAGAGGCAAGACTTAAAGGAAAGAAATTTTTTTTTTAAAATTGCAACCATCCCTATGTGTTCTTTTTAATCTGGAGGCCCTTACTTGTCGTGGGCTTACCCAAGAAATTTCTGTATTTATTTAAAGCTACAGAAAGCTTTCGGCTAATAGATTTTTGCTTTTTAAATAGGCTAAAAGTGCCCACAAGTGGCTAAAGTATCTTGAGTGACAAATGCAGTTATGCCACCACAGTTCAATATGTCTAGTGCCCAGGCAGCACATCACTGTATATTCTTGCTTTACAGGCTGTATTTTGACTTGTCTCCAGATATACATTGTGAGGTCATGAGGCAAACTGTAATCTCCTAGGAATTCTTCTGACCTCGGTAGCAATTCAGCAGCAAGGATTGCTGGATGTGTCTTGTAAAAAACCAACCAACCAAACTGGTGTGAAATTCTAATCTTCTGTTGTTTGGTGAACTCCTCCTGTAGAAAGGCTGGCATCTGTCCAAGAAACTTAAAATCTAATTTAGATAAGGGAGATATTTTAATGGAATTATTTTTCTTCACAGGAGTCTGTAACAGACTACACTACACCTTCTTCTCATCCTAACACAGTGGCTACTAGCAGTACAAAAATGGAGGAGACTTTGGTGACGAACGTAAGTCTATTGCAGTGATAGTCTTGACTTTGAAGACAAGAAAATATTTTCACACTTCTTTAAAGCACAAAATCTTGCCTTCAGTAAACAAGTCACTAGAGTTTCTTTCATGTCAACTAGCAGTGCGTTGTCCAGTAATCTCACTCTGAAGGACAGTTGGTTTGATTAGTATCTGTTCTGGAATTCTTCAGGTATTTTCTTGTCATTTGAACAACCCTGATGAGCTAAAGATCACAAAGTGGAGAAGATATTTCTAGGGACAATTCTAAAAAAAGCAAGGATAGGTGTAAGGAGAGAGCATGCTCTCAAGCTGCGGCTGGGGCTTGAACCTGGTACCAGTGGCAAAGCTCTGTAGGTGAGCTTGAAGAAAGGCTTTTACAAACAAAGCAATTTTGCACTGTAGCCTGAAATCACACCAACTGCATGTAAAGGAAGCAGCTTAATGGTTTCTGAAAGCAGACAGCAGGCTTTCAGTTCTTCAGTTGCTACGGAGATGAGGTGTTTGCAGTCCTCAAAGCCAATGATCCTGACTGGGTGAGTGTGGTGTAATGATTGAGAGGACCAGCTGTGTTGTGACTTGTAGCAAAGTCAAGTTTGTCTTGAGTGTGCTGGGATGTCAGGTTGGGAACTTGGATCTTGTGATTTTTGTTGTTTGAATAGCAGAAATAGAATTAGCTCAGAGTTGAGTTACTTGTTGATTGCGGGAGGAAAATATCATACAGTAGGATCTCAGGTTTTTATGAAGCTGTCTTGTGAATTCCATCTAAGAAATGCTTTTCAGCTTACTGCAGCGTCCTTTAATGCAGTTTTGAAGCAATACTGGTTGAACTTACTCTTCAGAGGGATTTTTCTGGCGGTGTTGTGGTTTGTGTCTTTGGTTAGTGTGGAAGACTGAATTCTTTTGTGTTAATGATGTTACTGAATGCTCCCCATGTTGGAGTTGGAACAACACAGGAAATGACCACAAAGGATCTGTTCTACCACCTGCAAAGCTTCAGTATCTCTGTCTTTTGGATTAACCTTATCTCATCCAGTGGAAGTCCACTAGCTGTGCTCTGAATGGAGAAAGAAATGGTCAGAAGTAAGAGACTGGCCACTGCAGTATTTTTGGTACATTTCATTTAAAACTTCTAGGAAATCCATCAGTGTTTTCTTAGGCAAAGATAGCAATAGCATTAAGTCAAGTTTATTTCCTTAAGTTTCACATCTTCTGTCTTTTGGAAGAGAAGATAACTGAATTCAGTTATTGGATGGCAAATCTGTCCTGGTTTGTTACATGGTCCTGTGACTTTGGAGGTTTTTATAGCTTCCTCTTTTCAGAAACTGCATCTCAGACCTCAAGGTCACGGAGCCCCATGTACTGTTTTGGTACAAAAGGGGCCAAACTTGGCTTGGGAAGAACTTTTGCATATCAGTAACCTGAAATGTTACTTTAAATCCCAAAGCAGAAAATTGGTATTCGTTTATGCAGAAGACATGGACACTTTAGAACCTTAGTCTTCAACCTCTTAAAGAGAGATGAGAAGCATCTCAGCACCTGCTGAATGGCCTTTCCCTGCCTACCAAATTTTCACCTTATTTTGTCAAAATCTCCCTGCCAAATGCTCAAGCCTTGAAGAAATTGTAGCTCACTCAATAAAGCTTGAGCTTTGCTTTTCTGGGGCTTTTGTAGTAGACGTAGTTAGAATGTGATGTGTGTTGCCTGCCTTTCAGGTGCCCCTGCCCCACACCCTTCCCCTCCCTAGGAGGGAGACTCTACAACAGAGCTCCAGCCTAACTCCAGTTTCTCCCGCTACCGTCGACCTCACCCTCAAGGTATGTACCACATCCCTCTAAGGGTCGTTTTCTTGCATGCAGGGGAAAAAATAAATGGAGAACTTGCTGGTGAACCTTTTTTTTAGAGCCTTCCTTTTTGTTTCCTCTGCTGAACTGCTTTTGCATATAAACGGATGGCTGAAACACAGGACTCCTATCAAAGGATGCATTGAAATGCAGTCTCTAACCCCGTTTTGCATTAACACCTGGCATCTCAATCAATCTTGGCTCCCACTGCCCTGAAAAAAAAAAAAATCCTAGCATTTTAGCGTTGTACCATAGTGTTCATGACAAACCATCAGAATCTGGCTGAGGGTTTTTTAAAGTCTAACTTAAAGTAAGTTGCCTGGTTTGGTATTAAAGGCTGTAAGGAGTTGCTTGGTAAGCCGAGCTTGATTTCTTCTTAGCTGTAAGATTTTGGTGCAGTGATAATGTGGTTTTCAGTTGGATGGCTAAAGTTCTAAATAATGAAATATAGGTGGTGTGTTGGTGTCTATGAAGGGCAGTTTGATCAGCTAGTCGGAATGTATTTTGTTGTGTTATAAATATTCTGTTTTCTGCTCTCCGGTGTAGAGTAAGTGTGTAGAGTATTTTGAATGGTGTTTTCCCGTTTGGTTGGATTTTGGACTGTGTGCATTGTATAACTCACTAACATAGAGTTGGGCTCTAGGTTTGCTACTGTGTCTTTAGAAGTTTTGGGTCTTTTTCATTTTTGTGTTCTAGATTGGCTTTGTGATTGTGACTGCAGGTGACTGAACCAGTAGAAATATTGTTGCTACTTCTAATATTAAGGAGGAGTGATATTTGAACTTGGTTTCTCTAAATTTTTAAGAGGAGAAATGAAACTAGGGATTGGATGCAGAACTAACGCTTTGGAGAAACTTGCTTGTCAATCCCAGTGAGACTTGTGGCTCACTGGCATGGTTTGACAGCTGCTTGCTCGTGTTCTCTACAGATGATAGCTATTAATGATCTCTTGTTGAATCTTTGCTTCTCTTTTGTTAACACTTTATTTCCGGAAAAAAAATGTAACATCACGTTAAAACAATAGACCAGCAAAAATGGGGAGAGGGCTGGAGAGGGACAAGTAATTTAAAAAAATCTGTTTTGCTATTGCATTCTTGTGTAATAAGTTACCATAATCTGACTTTCTGGCGCCTGAAAGCATTTTTCTAGAATATCAGTCTCTAACTGTTTAGCAGCTGGATATTTGATTCACATGTAATACAGGTAGGAATGTTGCTATAGCATGATGCTGCAAAGAATGTGACACTGCTCAGTTACAGAGCAAACTGTGGTGCTTGTGTCATTCGTTCTGCAGTTTCTTTTTCTACTGTTCTGGTGTCGGTGATTTGATTGCTTTCTCAGTGGATGATAGATCTTGGGTGTGTGCTTCCAAAATATGTCAAAGATCTATATTTTGAGGCTGCCTTGAAGAAAACTGACCAAAATCTGAATGGAAAGGTGTTTGGAAGCAGCTTTGTCTCTAATTTCTCTATTCCAGCCACTGGAGCTCTACCTCCTCTTTGCAAATGCTGAAGGCAACAAGCTTGTTTTGAAGCATGCACTGAGACTGTCACTTTCACAACAGGCCTTCTGGTCCGGGCAGAGCAGAGCTGCTCTTTGTCATCCTTGCTTCTTTGAAAAGGTACTTTTGGAGCAGCAGAGAGGAAATAATTTGTTTCCTTCCCTTAAAAGAATAAAATCTCCAGGCTCTGCCTCCATAAAGGAATAACCCTTACATCTCCTCTTTCCTCCATCCCCTGTCACAGAAAGCTGTCTGTAAGGAAACTTGGCAGGGGAACTCAGCCACAATTGCTCCCACTACTTGGCATCATTCTGCCAGGGTGTAGGTATAAGGTGCTCATATGGGAAGGCTTGTTGAGATGTCTTGTTTCTTAGAGTAACTTTGCTAAAAACACCTTTACTAACGCAGACATCCTCTTAAGGACTTAGCTGATAGGGCTATTGGTAGGTAAGGAGCTGAGAAAAAGAAAATGCAAAGCAATCTTAAACTGAGCTGCCTGGCTCTCTTCCATGTTCTAAGGTTCCATCTAAAACTCCTGTGTAGGCATCTGGTCCAGAATCTGACACCTTTTGACTTTGTTTTTCTGATCACTTAAACTTTGGCATACTTAAGGGATATGCACATTGTTATTTGTCTCCAGTTAAGTTTTTGGGTGATACATACTGGACCTTTATTGCCGTGGGAAGGGCTGAGTGGGTCAACAGTGAAGAGAAGCCTCAAACAACCATGATCTCCAGCCTGTGCTCTCCTTTTCCCATAACTATGTGAGCAGTGAAATTACAGCACTTTCCCCAGCCTCACTTAATTTAGAGCCTCGTACTCCTTCATATCTGGTCTGTAGATGGTGCTGCATAGGCGTTCCTAGAATACCAATCTGTGTTGCATCTTTTTCTGGCTTAAGAAGTTAGAGGTTGTTAAGGAGCTCTCTAAAAGCAAAACTGTTAGCAAACTCAGTACTCTGTTATATGCCCTTTATTGCAAAGTGGTAGGGGTGTGTGATGATCTGGGATCTTGGTAATGGTTAGGTTTGGAAGACAAAACACAGTGTTGTAGACTCCAGCTTTTGCTATCGGTAGTTTCTCCAGGAACATCATGAAACTGACTGAACAAAGCTTCTACACCTTCTCTATTCAGACATTCAAAGGTACTTCTTTACTATTCAGACATTCAAAGGTACTTCTTTACTTTCTCTTAATACCAATGTAGTACAAGACCATTACTCTCGTCTTACCAGAGCCTGTGGTGTTCAGAAAGAAACCTCTAGTCATACCTGTACTCCACCTTAAGCAAAACCCTTTTCAGCAGATTAATAATAAATTTTGAAGTTTAAACTGTTTGCAAGAATCAGAACCAATTTGGAAAAGAATGTTGTGGAGGGGAAACTGAGAATGATTGCTGGGGAAGGTGGCCTCAAAAAGGAAAAAAGGTGACTTACCTCCAAAAGATTTAATGTGTAACAGAGTTTCCCTCTTCCCCTTCCGCTCTCTCGGGGAATACAGAACTTCGCTTTCCATGTGGGTGTTGATCACCTGTTACCCACTTCTTTGGATATTGCTTTGCTTTTTTATCACTTCTGAAGTGTCTAGACAAATGACCGAAGTCGCGTTTGATCTGTGCAGACTGTGCCTAACTCATGTGAAACAGGGTAGGTTGAAAGTATGGCTTTTGGAGACTGCAAGTCCCAGTTAGAGGGCTCTCTTGATCCAGGCAGTGAGGTCAGATTTGTTGGTGAATATGTATTTGCCTCTTTACAGCACCTGGCCTTGAAGCTTACAGTCTGCCAGATGAGCAATTTCAGCCTATGGCATCCAGCTCTGCTTAGCAAAATCTTTGTTTCAACTGAGGACAGCTGAAGGCTGTAAAGAAGTCCATGGACTATGTTTGAGCTTTTAAATTAGTGGGTGTAGACTGAGCATTAATATTTCCTTCCAGTAGTCCCTCAAAAGTGTCTCAGTTCAAAGATCTGGCATTGTGTGTCTAATGCAGCAATAATTAGATTGTTATTGAGGTCAGTAAAGCAATACTTTTTTCTGCTTTTGGTGGAAGAGAATTGTGTTTAAAATATTTAAATTAAAGTTTCATCTTCCTTGCTGTGCAAGACTTAATGTTATAGCAGTAGAGAAGCATGAAGCATTTTTAGCATTAATGTAAAGCAGCGTGCACAAGCTGTGTCAGCTCATGGTTGCTTCTTGAACACCACTTTCTTTGGAAATCTAAACTTGACTACTCATGTTTACTGAAGTGTGCATTAGGTATTTTTGATGATCACTCAGAGTGGATGATTTACCAAGAAAGCAAGGGGCTGTTTCATTTAAATGGCCCAAGTAACTTGTAAGCAAAGGAATTCATGGAAATATTTAGAGGGCTTTTTACCTTTCTTTTGCTCACTGTGTCTTTTGCTCTTCATGTCAAACAAAACCAAGCCAAATTAGTGTGAGTGAATTCTCTTTTGAGCATTGAATGTTGATGATGAACTGTGCACGTGTGCAGTTGGAACAGATAAGAAGCTCCAACTTAAGGCTGTATGCTTTTTGCATGAACAGAGTTGCACGATTATGGTGACTTTTAAAAAGAGGCTCGCATGAAGCCTGAACTGCCTTTTGAACTAAAAAGAAGTGTTAAAAGAGGAAGACTGACTAGTTGAAACTTCCTGATGAGGAAATTTTGTTTTCTTTTAAATAGATGGAGTCTGCACGCAAAGCATGGGAGAATTCCCCAAACATGGGGGAGAAGAGTTCACCAGTGACTTCAGCAGCATCTCCCATTGCTGGTGGCAGCGGCAGTAGCAGCAGCAGCAGCAACACTGGGCCAAGCAGTGGTACTTACAGCTCTTTCTCTAGTGCATCAATGCCTCCTATTCCTGTGGCCTCAGTTACACCGACAACTTCGCTGTCAGGTATCAGATGTCAAGATTGTAGTAGCCTGTTGTATTGTTCCTTTGTTATTTTTTTCAAGAGATTAGATTCCCTTTGGAATTATATTTAATGCAAAGTTAACAAAAGTTTTATGCTAGTATGAAATGTCAGGTCTGAACAGCAGCTTCCCAAATACCTTGTAATTAACAAGGAGACACTTCACCTCATCACTTCAGTCAGATGAAAACAGTATTAAGATGACATCTCTCTGCCTGTGCTACTCATATGGACTTGAAAGAGGAGTTAAAATTCTCCTGTTGGCTGCCTTATTGGTTTCCTTTTGTTCAGCTGAATGAAGGCAAGTGAGCAGGTGGTAGTTCTGATATCCAGCTAGTTGCAATCTTTCTTTCATTTGTGCTCTTTGGAGTCAAAGCTTTAACAGGTCATACGTAGTTCCCCTCACACTAGGCAGAGCAAATGTCCAGCTGCTCTTCAGAAACAGTGCTGGTTTCCACCTTGGTTCTTTGCAGCAAATAAAAGATGCTACATCTGATTAAATCTTCACACTTTGAAGTATTAGAATGTATGCCCGAATCTCAACTGAAGTGCTTGAAAAAGACCTTTCTTTGGAGTCTGGCTCTCAACCTTGAGAGGCACAACCACCATACATTGCGATATTTTGTTGCATAACTGACCAAGATGTCTACTTCAGTATTTTTATATGCTCTTGTACTTGAGAAGGGAGATGTATTATGGTTGCAGTGCTTTCTATAGCGAACTTAACAAAATTGTCCTCCCTTTCCATCTTATGTTGATGGAAACAGCTGCATTAGGTTTCAGTGTTCTTAACCAGTTGTGGCTGTGCTTGCATAGCTGTCCCAAAACTTAGACCACTGAAAGATGAAGCTTTGAAATACCTTTAGCTATTTTATGATGTATGACTTGCTTCTCTCCTTCTAGGAGCTGGAACCTACACAACCTCTTCACTGAGCACAAAGACTGCAAGCACCTCAGATCCTCCTAATATATGTAAAGTGAAACCACAGCAGTTGCAGACAAGCAGCCTAGCTTCTGCCAGTCACTTTTCCCAGCTGAGCTGCATGCCATCCCTCATTGCCCAGCAACAGCAAAGTCCCCAGGTCTATGTGTCTCAGTCTGCAGCAGGTAATAGTGTTTGTGACTGAGAAGCCGTATGTCTGCTTTTTTGGAGTTCTGAAGCTGGAGAGTTGAATTCAGTTCTGGTTTTATCTCTCGTAAAGACAGAATGATGGAGAGCATTCTGTAAGCAAATATTCACTAATTGTGTCTTACTCTAAATATGCAAGTTTCTATCAGTAAGTATAAAGATAATGCTGGGTTGTTAGGTTGAGGAAAGTAAGTTTGAATCTCTTGATGTACCATTTTTCGGTTGCAGAACTGTATATCACTCTTTTAAGACCAAAAATGACTTAGTCTTGACTTCTTAAAGGGCTACGATAGTTTAGAATCATGGCCTTTTTCTTTAAAGAAAACCCTACATATAGTTAACCTAAATTACATGACAGTATAGCATGTTCTTCCTCATCCTTCACCCAAACACCTGTTTGGCCAGTATCTGTTGCTCATCCCCCAAGAATGCATGGGACTGAAGATGCATATGCAAGACTGATAGATTCTGGGAGTGAATTGGAAAAGCTGGTTAGGCACCCAGCTCTTCAGTCCTGTTTCTTCTCCCAGTCTCTCTGGTAGCTCTCACACTGGGAAGTGCTGACAGTGGCTGCATCTCTAACTCTTGATAAAGACCTTTCTAGCAGGAGTATGTTTGAAATCAGGTGCTAATTGTATTGTTCTTCCTGAGGTACTGCAGCTCAAATCCCAGCATTTTATATGGATACAAGTCATCTATTCAATACCCAACATGCGCGTTTGGCACCACCTTCTCTGGCCCAACAGCAAGGCTTTCAACCAGGGCTTTCTCAGGTATTTGGAGATTTCTTTCTTCTTTTTTCCCTTCCCTGTCCATATTGCCTTTAAAGCTCTATTAACGAGCTAATGGGGTCAGGGGAGAGTGGGACTAAAGACTCTGCAAAAATGAGGTCATGCCCATCCTTGCTATTTCATTCTGGTACATGCAGGTGGTGTTTGATCTCCACTGTTCTGAAAATTAAAGCGTTTCTCATGAAAGTTGAGAGAATAAGTTTTCACTCACAAATATACTTTATGTAAAAGTACCTGTATTCATGAGAGGTATTTATGTGGCCTTGTTAGTGCAGGTTTATTCAACTTTGCCTACAATTGTGTACTACAAATCTTGTCCAGTTGTATGCAAATCTAAATGATTAATTCAGTTTCTGCTGGTTATTTGCAAGGAAAAGTGTAAAATGCAACTAGAAAGTAATTTTCTGAATGGGAGCAATACCAGCTCTGCATGCAGCCTTGGTATTTGACATTCTCTGTTTACTTTTTATAATGTTACACAAAGCCTGGCACACATTTAACTTTAGCTTTTCTATGTGACTTTTGTCCTTGGATATTTAATGGTTTCTTCTTTATGCAGCCTGCTTCAGTTCAGCAGATCCCCATCCCCATCTATGCACCTCTGCAAGGACAGCATCAAGCTCAGCTGAGTTTAGGAGCAGCACCAGCTGTTTCACAAGCCCAAGAGTTGTTCAACTCCTCCTTACAACCTTATAGGTAGGTAGCATATGCAAATTTCTTTGGGCTTTGAGTGGCATAATTTGTAGGACTTGCTTCCCTGCAGACTTGTGTTCTTTGCTCAATAGCTGCCCTCATCTTCCTTTCTTCCCCAAAATCTCTTCCATCTGTTTTTCTGGCCAAGAACATTGTATGCGGATTGCCTGGCTAATCTGCATGTGCAGATGTAGTTGTGAAATCGTGGGATCAAAAACTATGCATGATATTTGCATCTTTAGGAAACCAGACTAAAAAGCTGAAAACATCAGTCTTCGTACTAAGAGAACAGAAAAAGAGGAGTCTGTCTCTTCAGTAATTTGTTTGTTACTTTCTAATCAAACCAACATTGGAGTCTTGAAACACTTTTTAAATACTAGTTTGAACCTCATCGGTGGCAAAACTTAAATTTCAGATGCATAGAGTGTAGCAAGGTATGTTTTAGAATAACTGTTTTCCGTTTGATACAAAAGATAACACCACTAGTATCTCTCAAATGGCATTGATAGCCAGACAATGTAAGCCTTTCCAAAGCTTCCGTGCGGTTCCTATCAAAACTGATTCACAGTGCTAAAATGATGACAAATTTTGTTTCACTTTGGGAGTTTCTTTGGGAATTTAATTACAGGGTTTTGCATGTGCTGTAGAAAAACCTGCTTGTTGCAATGTAGAAGCCACAGAAGGTTTAATTGACTACATGTGTATCCTGATTTTGTGCTTGGCTGATTTTGTTGGACCAAATATTGCTTGTCCTGCCACAGCTGACAAAAGTTGTTGCATATGTCTGGCTAGTTGCAGAAACAGTCAGTCTGGCATGTGGTCCAGATTAAATAAATGCTTCTGGCTGATCTGGTCACACATGAACCCAGTATTAATGGAGTTTTGGGTTGTGCTATTTATAAGTGTATGAATACTTTTCCCACATCTTTAAAGGTGCAGAGGAGGATGAGCTTTGAGATGTATGGATTACTGGGGTGGGGGCAGGGGAGGAAGCTTGTGAAAAATGGCTTTGGCTACATTGAAGACAATCCTCTGCATACATTCTGGAAAAGTTTCTCCAGTGCTCAGAGTGCAACTGTAAGAATGTTTTGCAATTAAGGAGAGGTACAGAACAAAGCTAACTGGGGTGTTCTGTCAGGCAAGCACATGCCCCCTATGCTAACAGATTAACAGGACCAGTATATGTACTATTCTGGTACATATAGACCAAGTGATAAAGTGAAAAGTTTTTATATCAAAAAACACTCTCCTCTGAGCTGAAGGGCTTTGAGAGGGGCTTTTATTTAAAAACTCTGGTTCTGCAGTGTGAAGGTGGCTATTCAGCAAGCTCTTAATGGAAATGTTTGGATAAATACTTCTGATGGACTAAAACAACCTGTCTGTGGTTATTTGTACTGTTTTTTGTCATTTTTTAAACAAACTGCAACTTCCCCATGCTGGTGACAAGGGAAATGAATATCTAGTTAAAATTAAAGACTGTGGTGTCTGTCTGCGTTACTGTTTTGAAGCCAAAACATTAATTTGGAAGCTAGAGCTGTCAGCATCCAGTGATTGAACCTGTAAGTATTAGAAGTTGGACTATGGAGATCTGTGAAGTCAGGAGAACAAAGCAGTTTATGACTAAGTAGAGCTACTCACATGTGCTTCCCCAGTGTCCTATCTTATACTACAGGAGCTAAGAACTGGTAACTTCTGTAGGTTACAGTTAAGTTATGCAGAAACTATTTTAGTATGCACATCTAAATACCTAAGTGTACTCTAAGATTTAGAGAAAAAGCCTAGTCATTTTTTTCCTGTGGCCTTTAGTAGCATCTATTATTCTGTTGTGTGTAGAGTAAATTTAAAAAAATCTAACTTTCTTGGGTGAAAATCTGTTCTATACAGCTAAGTATTCTAATTCTTTTTAAAGAATTGTGTTCTTAATTTTTGGTGGCTCATTGTTGAGCTCTTTCTGCATTTTTATGTATAATGCTTCAATCTTTTGCAGATCCCAGCAAGCTTTCATGCAAAGTGGTTTGTCTCAGCCATCACCAGTAGTTCTGTCTGGTACAGCCTTACACAACTTTCCAGCAGTACAACACCAGGAGCTTGCTAAGGCCCAGTCAAGCCTGGCATTTCAACAGACTTCTAATACACAACCTATTCCTATCTTATATGAACATCAACTTAGTCAAGCTTCAGGACTGGGAGGCTCTCAGCTTATTGATACACACATTCTCCAGGTAGGAAATGCTCCAAAGTGCAAAACTTCTGTAACGGTTTGATACAGATAATGCAGTAATAAATCAAGTATTGCTCAGCTTGGGATAAGCCCACCTCTGTGATAAGTACATGGTAGTCAAGGTGGCAGGAAACTTAAGATGCTTGGAAGAGAATGTTCTTTAATTTCATAAAGGTACATCAGCATAACCTCTGAATTGAGGATTGTTCCCCAAACTACAGGACTCCTTGCGCTTCTATCACTAATTGGAGCTTCAAGTTTAATTTCTGTTCTGGTGTAGGTGATAAAGGGCTATTCTACCACTTGCAAATGAGAGCTTTATCAGAAGCTGAAACCTTCAGGTTGTCAGCTTCCTATGCTGTGATTTCTACTGTACTGGTTGAAGTACAGAATGATGTGCCATGCTGTCTCAGAACTGCTCTCCTAAGTATTCTTAATGTAATGGTGTCTCTCGCTCTTCCTAGGCCAGAGCTACGCTCACTCAGGCTTCAAATCTGTACTCTGGGCAGGTTCAACAGCCTGGCCAGAGCAATTTCTACAACACTGCACAGTCTCCCAGTGCTCTCCAGCAGGTAAACTATGGCATGGTAAATTTCCTAAATTGTATTCTTCTTAAAAGCATGTTATTGTTGATGTTTTTTTGTCAGGTGTGGGTGGAGGTGGGGGCTGAGGCAATCTTTTAATTCTTCCAAAATGCAAGAATTAAAAATTGATAGCGAAGGAGAGCTACTGCAGCAGCACTGAAAAACTGAATTGCTGAGAAGTTGAAGGGCCTAGAAGTTCATGTTGATCATTTGTCTCTGGCATCCTTCTCTTAAATAGTTCATTTTCCAGTGACAGGCAAAGATTTAGTCGGCCCAGTGATGTTGCTAATTGAGGCATATGCTGCCTTTATGGGGGCAGGGATCAGTTAGTGATGGTGGAGGGAGAGACAAACTCCAGGTGCTTAGGGCAGCCTAATTATTAACACCAAATCTTGCTGAGATGAAACCTCAGAGCTGCTACATATGTCAACAATATCAAATATGTAGAAAACAGATGAGAAGTCGGCAGATAAGTGATCATACAGGCAAACAGGACAGCCAAGTCAGTAACCTACATCAGGAGGTTTGTAAAATAAAAAATAAAAAAAATCCTGTGATTTTAAGCTTTTTGAATTCGTTTGTGAAAGAACCGTTAATTTGCTGTGTGCAAGCATTCTGTCACGTTTGCAGGATGCTGTCTAGTGCTTTCCATCTTCTGGTTCAGTTTCCTTATTTCAGTTCCTTTTAAAAAAACAAAAAAAAGCTTATGATGGACTGCTTTATATTAATAGCCTACTTCATACACATGAAAAGTTGCTGAGACAGAAATCTAGAAGAGTCTTAAAAAATTGGATCTTATCTGTTGGAAGTCTAGCATAAAGTTTTAAGGACCTTTTAGAAGTGTTAATGCTTTTAATGTGTTCAGACTTAGCTGTCTCTATGCTGTTAATCTGTTATCCTTCAGAGCAGAAACCTTGTAAGTCTTTCACATCTTATAGTCACACTCGAAATATAATTTTGCAGGTTGTGGATTGATGGTAGACTAGGAAATGCAGTAACTCCTGCCAGTCAGGTCACTGCTGTGGTATTTTCACCTTTATCACTACTATTCTGTGGTGTGTTCAGCCCACAGCACTCCCTGTTAATGCAAGCAAGGGATAGGCTGTGGTTTTGTTTGGTTGTGGGTTTTTTTGTTTGTTTTTGGTTTTGTTTGTTTTTGGGGCTTGCTTTTTTTTTTTTTTAAGCTCAGACTGCTGGGTGTTGAGACTCCTGGAAAGTAAAATCTAGTTTTCATCCCAGTGTCCTTATGATGGCTAAAATTATCTGAAGGAAATAACCCCATCCACCCCTGCCCCCAACTGGCTATTTCATTCTGCATTCATTTTGAGTTGAATTAAGTTTACTTCTTCGTACAGTGAAATCATGTTGAAAGGTGTTGGGAGCTAGCATGCAACTTTTGTTTCTGAAAAGCAAAGACCCAAATGCCATTAGAACTGATTATAAAGACAGGCTAAACAAGAAATTCACTTACTTGCTTGCAGCTCTCTGGGTAAACGCATGAACTCATTAAGCCATTTACCTTGTATATATCTGAAATCATAGAGCTAATAAAGTTAAATAATGGCCCTTGGGTATATGTTACTGGTGATTTTTTATTTTTTTTTTCCAGGTGACGGTACCTTTGCCAGGATCACAAATTTCTTTGCCCAACTTTGGATCCACAGCACAGCCACTTATTGCCCTACCCCAGTCTTTACAACCACCACTACAGCACACACCACCACAAGCGCAGGCTCAAAATCTAAGCAGACCTGCACAAGTAACCCAGCCTTTCAGAGGATTAATCCCAGCAGGAACTCAACACAGCATGATTGCTGCAGCTGGAAAGGTAACAATACTGGTAGATCTACAGTACAAAAATTAATACAAAGCACAGCTGTATGCTGTTTTATAGGACCAGCATGAAAACCCATGTTGACTCTTGCATCTAAAAATCTACCTTGACTTTAAAAGGTAGGGAGGGGAAGATAGAAAAGCCAGTCAAGGTTAGTTCCTTAGTGACCGGGTCTGTGCATTTCGTAAAGGTTTGGCTGAGTTTTTGTAGCTAACTTGATGCTAGTAGGAATACCTAGTTTGATGATGACTTTGTGGACTAGTAGGATATTTCATGCAGAAGCCATGTAGAAAATAGTACAGAGCCATTGTTAGAGCAGCATGCAGACATTACACTGTCAGGGCTGGTTTCCAACTCTGGTCATGCATGGGTTTGTTGCTTTTTTTTCTGGTCTTATACCAGAGCAGGTTGTATGGGATCAAGTCTTTCCAGTGCAACAAACTGGAGTTTTAGGGGCTTCAGTGGACTCTGTATCATCTGTGACCTTAAACCAGAATGAAACTCTACTAATGTTTCTGGGGGTCTGCTTTTCTGAATAGCACAGTAAGGTGTGTCTTGAGAACGTAGCATTGTATGCAAGGCCAGGGCCTTTGATGTGGGGGGAAGAAAAAAAAAAAAGCTGGTGCTGCAGATGAAGAAAACTCTCCTTGAAAGACAGCTACAGTAAGGAGATAACACTGAAATACTGCAAGAAACTTGAATACCTAGGAGGGAATTCTCTCCTTTATCTGGAGCTGCTGTGGTAATTGCTAATGAGGGGATGTATAGAGCTGGTTTCCAATCACAAGGTCTCTTGTCTTAGATGGAATCACAGATTTACAGGCACCTGGGATTTTCGGATAGTGTGCAGCACAACGCAGTTGCAGCATACTTTCAGGTGAGCAGTGGATGATAACACTGGACATGAACACAGCTAAGCTTTCTATCGGGTACAGCAAGGTCTTTCCCCAGTGCAAAGGAGTAATCTAGCTCTGGAGCTGCACTTGAAATCCTTACCCAAGATTTTAGGGTGCTTTTGAGTATAAAATGACCCTGCTGTACCAATGGTTTACAGCTGTGATAAGGAAAATCTCTCTCAGGTGTTAATTCCATGTCTTGGACAGTAATGGCAACCAGAATTTGTGAATCACCCTGATGAAGTCCTCATCCTGTCACCCACCAGAGTATATGGTGATTTTGCACCATACTGTTTTCTGGCTTCATAGGATCTGGCCAAACCTTTTCACCGTTATAATTTTGATGACCCTATCTTCCAAGCAGCAGCGTATTTCTTGCTACAGTTGTCATTGGAAAATGATCACTAATTTCAACAAGAAATGAGGAAGAACTGCAGAGGAATGGTGGCCTTAGGTGACTTTCCTGCCTTGTGTTAAGGGTTCCATCATGTTCATGCTAAAGAAAGTCAACTTAACACAGCCACTCGCTTTTAACTGATTTATTGTTGCCATTACGCTTCATGGCCATGTGTGGAAAGATGCAGTTCCAAAGACTAATTTTATTCTGTTGAGTGTGTCTGCAAAATAACATGCAAGATTCATTGCCTCTGTTAGAGTCTGGAGATTTTTTGCGTGAATGACAGCTCTGTTTTTGCTGTGCTTTTGTTTTGTGATTTTGTTTTTTTTTTTAAATAGAACTCGATTATTTTATGGCATTCTTCACTTCAGGATTTTCCAGGATTATATCTAAATATTTTCATGTGGTACCTGGGATGGGGAAGGAAATTTCAACCCTGAAACTTTTTTTTTAGGGCAAAATATGTGAAATTAGTCACAAATCCCCTTTCATTATGCAGGAAGATCAAGTTAGAAAGCCAGTACCATAGCTGGAAGTGCCAAATAGCACAGGAAAATTGTACACAGAGGTGCTTGTGGTGCTGGGGTTGGCCTAATTATAAGAAGACATTTTGCAATCTGGCTTTCATCTCCACTTAACTGACCTGTTTTCATTGAGAAAAATGTGAGGTAAGCTGACAGTAACTTAGTAAATGTAATTTTCTTTTTAATTAGAATTAATATGTCAATTCCTGTGTTTTTCAGATATCCGAAATGGACCTGAAGGCCTTTGGAGGTGGCATTGATGTTAAACCTGGAACACCACCAGTTACTGGTAGAAGTACTACTCCAACCTCCAGTCCCTTCCGGTAAATCACTCTTAAGCTCAAAATTCCTTGAAATCAGAACTAGAAAATGTACCTAGTCATGCATGAGCTGCCAATTCTGAAAGGTGTGAGGTGAAGTGCTACTAATATAAAATACAAGCTTAATCTCATCTTAAAAGCAGCATTCCAGTATGTCATCAGATCTGCTATAGCTCTGAACTAAAACGTTTAAAATTTTTTTTTTTTTATTAAATGAAACTAAACAAGTCATGTAAAATGACCTGGGATTGTACCAGCAAAACACAGAAGTGGCAGGGAAGGTGTACTTTGGGATAAAACTCTTAACACTTTAGCATAATTGTTGTGCTCAAAGTGAAAACACTTAAAGGCTTACACTGCAGTTCTGGCAACAATTCTGTTAGAGAACTAGTTCTAGTTCTGTTAGAGAACTAGAACTAGAGAACTCTAACAATTCTGTTAGAGAATTGTCACAGGATCTATAAGCTCCTCACAAGTGAAATTAGTAAGCTGTTTGCAAGTTTGCTTGGTTAATTGATAGAATCTTGCTCATATGCAGATGCACTTTGTGGTAAACCTATTGGGCTGCTTGTGGGTGAAGTTTTTAGTGGGCTGAAGGAACGTGAAAATGGAACTCTGGTACAAGGTAGATTTGTTCTTGAAAGCTGTGCTCCTATGCAGTAACTCTGTTTGGTGGCTTTCACTGTAGCAGACGGTGTGTTCAGGCTTTTCTAGTGAGGTAGAAATGAGAGCTTGAACTCAATGCTGAAGTTGGGCCTCCAGTACTTCACCTAAGAAAAAAGTGAAGGGATGAGGAAGAAGAAACTTGACTTTGCACCTTTTAGGACAATTGACTTGATGGTATATATCTTAGAGATTCTATCTGAGATTTCTCTTCTAGCAACCAAAGCAGAGCTTATCATAAGCTTTTGCTCTTAAGTAAAGGTACTGGGAACATGAATAAAAACGTAATATATCTCAAGAGTTCAAAGTGAAAACTGAACAGAGACTTCTTTAAGCTTACAAAATGTTGGTGTGTATTGAGTTTAGATGGCTTCCTTGCCACTGGTGCCCTGCTGCTCATTTTGCATTGTATATCACTAACTCTGCCTGAGAACTCTCTGCAAATCAAGCTCCATTTCCTAAAGAAAGCTGTTCACTCTTTTCTCTTTCTCTGAAGACTGTTTGGTGCCCTTCCCCCAGATAATCTTTCAGGCTTCACTTAATTCATGGTGATTCAACACCTCTTAAAAGTTTTAATGGAGTCTCATGTTCTTAGCCAAATAAAACAGGGTGAGAGCGTTTTCTGTGAATTCTTGAAATCTGTTCAAGTGCATTTTGAAACATTTGACAACAGGTCAGAGTGGAAGCAGCTGCACATGGCAGCTTCTGCGGCACATGCTTAATGCCTGTTGTGACAAGCTCTGAACTTGACACGATGGAGCAAACAGTGTAAAGGGGTGGGACCGAACGTAACACAGCAGGCATGGGAAGCGGAACACACTTAACACCAGTATTTGTGTTACAAATACTTTTGGGAAAGGTGTCTTTCATACGTACTTTACCCTAGAATCTTTCCATATGCTAAATATTTCTGATTATGGTTTCTCTTTGTATTCTTAGTTATGAGTTTGTTTGCATTTGAAACTAATGGTAGATACAGAAGAATATCTGATACCAGCTTCCCCAAGAGGTTTCATTTTTTTGCCCCCTCCAATGCTGAATTTGTAGTTAAGCTGTAGCTAAAGGCAGAAACATCCTCTGAATAAGAGTGGTGTGATTCTAACTGGCGTTCTTTTCTTTAGGGCCAGTTCTACAAGTCCTAACAATCAGTCCAATAAAATGAACAGCATTGTCTACCAGAAGCAGTTTCAGTCAGCAGCTGCCGCTGTGAGAATGACGCAGCCATTTCCTGCACAGTTTGCACCACAGGTAGGTGACTGGTGGCTTCCTACAAACAAATCTGTTTCTCTCTATGACCTGGTGGCTCTATAACTCGGCTGTGTTTCCTCAGGCTTTATCATGGGGAAATACAAACTGGAATCCTTAAAATGAAATGGTGTGAGAAAACTCATTTCAAGATCAAAGGCAAAAAAACCCCTTTCTGATCTTGCTAACTAGTAGTGGAGATTTTGTGGTATATTTAATTTTGAGACTTCTGTGCACACTGAGGAATTTTAATACAAGTTGTGAATGATGTAGAAAAGATGGTTGTTCTCCTGGCTTCTCTATGCAGCTGTAATGCATCTCATCCTGCAAAAACAAATCATTTGATTGGGGAAGGGGAGAAGCTTCGTGTCTCAGAAGGGTCCCGGTGCATATTTTAAATGTTTAAAGACAAAGCAGATTTGCAGTCGTTTGAAATGCAGCTCTGAAGTATTGAAGGAGCAGATCAGGTTGGAAAGGATCACTGGAGGTCATGTAGTCCTTACAAAGCAGAGCTGATGGCAAAGGGTTTGATTTGCTTCTGGTGTTCCAGGGAGCGCAGCTTACAAGAGTGGTGCATCGCTGTTACAGGTGACTCTAGCCAGGCTGCTAGAGAAATGCAGCCTCTGTAAAAAATGTAAGATATTTGTCTGTCTCTTAGTATTTGGAGTGTTTGACTCTAGGACTTGAGATTTGATTTTTGGATTGCCACTAGGAGAAACTACCTTGCCTTTCCAGGGCTACCTTTCACTAGTGGTGACTCCACTGCCCTGCATGGGTGGATTTTCTCCCTTATTACGTGCTAGTTTTAAGCTGTTGGTGCTACTTTCAGGCACAGCAGCAGTGCAAGACTTTTTTTTCCTGGAGTTCAAGCCTGGCCTCTCTTAACATAAAAGCCTATTTTCTTGACATCAGTTTGACGGCAGAGCAGCAACTTTTTCCCCTTTTATAAGATAATGCCAATGTGCGATCTAGTTGGCAATTTTCTAATTGCAAAATGTTTCTTTGTTGTTTTTCCCCCACTTAGATCCTCTCTCAGCCTAACCTGCTCCCTCCATTGGTAAGAGCCCCATATACTAACACCTTCCCAGCACCTGTTCAGAGGCTGCCAATAGTACTGCATAGTCAGATGCCGTCTCAGAGGACCACAGGCCTTATGAGCCACCCTCATTTACTGCCTGTGGCCAGAGGTCTTTGTGGATCAGTAAATGGAGCCAGAGGCAATCAGGCCCAGGCTGTGATGAAGGCTGAACGAGACATGAAGGTTAGTATTTGAGCAGTAGTGCTGTTAGCACCAGTTCAGTCTTGACAGCTTGTAGGGCAGGAATGTGTCTGCAAATCATGTCTTAATTAAAATGCCTCTGGACCCAAAGCCAGTATTCAGGCCTTTAACAGCTGAACACAAACCTTCTCTAAGGCTTTTTTTAATAAGAGCTTTAGACTGAAAAATTTGTAGAGAGCTTCCTTTCTCAAGTGATCTTGTGGTCAGCAGTTGTGAAGCTGCCACTGCTGTCAAAAGCAATCTGACAACTAGGTTTCAAGAGCCTGGATTTTTTGAATGGGTGATGAATCCTACAAACCTGGCTGTTAGCTATCATTTCACATCTGCCTCCCCAGCTCTGAGCTGCAGTATGAACCCTCCTGTTCCAGCCAGCCTTGTTTCTTGGTTAATGAGACTGAGGATTTATTAACCAGTGGTTTGAAATGCCTGTGATTAATTCTCTGTGGTAGAATGCACTAACATGGTATGCTGTGCTGCAAAGAGGTGGCTGCATTTCTGTAGTAGGTGATGAGAGTAATCCAATTTGTTAAAGCACTTTGGGACCCTTCAGGTTGAGGCAAACTCTTCTTACCAAGGGGGGACTGTGATGTGGGGTGTCTGTGTAGAGACACCATTGTACCCTTAGCCTGTTTTCTGCAGAGTAAGTTGCTTGTATGAATAGATGGTACCAAGGAGCTCTTTCATCTACTGTCATTTGCCGTAACCTATGCATTGAGGTATAAAAGCAAAAGAGTGTGTTTTTCCTGGTTATGTCTGGTTGTAGGAGAATTGATTGCCTCTAAAATTCTAGGTATTTGGTCCATTTAGTTTTCTACCACCAGTTTATGCTAGCTGTAGGCTTACCAGGTGATGTGTAGTGTATTGTCTTGAGTCTGTATTATGAATTGAATCTAGCCAGTCATAGCAAGTACTAATATGCAGTCCTGGTTTTCTGAATCTCCCTGCAAACTCTGTTCAAAAGAATGTGAGTTATTCTGTCACGTTTGGTTACTTGTGATCAAGTCATCCAACCTTCCAGCCTTTACCTCAGGGGACAGCTGAAATCTATGCAGAAGATTTCAGGTGTCCGTCTGACTCCAGTAAAATCAGACTGTTGCTGCAGTCCTGCACACCAGAGTTCACAGGTTTGTTTTCTGTTCTGTTGCTGGTTGAGTTACTTGGAGCAACCACACAGTATTAAAGCCAAGACCTCTTGTTGCAGGTTTTTGCTGGTTTGTTGCCCTGTTTCCTGTAAAAAAGTATAAAATACTTAGAGGGGTACATGGAGGCTTAGTGTCTGTAATTGTAATTGGGGTTCCTTTTATTAAGATACACTTTTTTAATGTAAAAAAAAAAAGCGTTTGCATTGGGCTTAATCGTGCAGGTTCCAAAAGCTTGAACTCTTCATGCAGCTCCTGCTTTGCCTGAGTCTGGGCAGGAGAGACAGATGCTTGGCCTGAATCATCTGGCCTGCAGAGTGCTTCACTGACAAGTGAAAGGTCCAGTGTAAAACTGTAACTGAAACTTGTAGATGCAAAGGCTGAATTTCATAGGTGCAAGTCAAGGTTACAGGTAGGATTCAGAGGAGGGATTTGAAGGAAGCCAGGCAGTAGTTTGTGCTTCCAGGAGTGAGTGCCCACTTCGAGTGGGAAGCACGCACAGCTTCAGCTTACGTATAACACGACCCTGAACCCGGTTCACTTGCATCCCCATTGGAGACTCCGAAGTCTATGTCCAGAACAGGGGGAAAAAATGTATGTGCTCAGACTAGATTCTGCTGCTGTGATACTGCCCCTGTGCTCAGGAAGTCCGGACCACGCGGCAGGAGAAATGACAGCTGCCGTGGCCCTCGGTGCCGACAGTAGTGTTGGGGCACGGGCAGTGCGCAGGCACACGTGCCTTCTGGTCTTGTCTGACTTTTACTGAGTGAAGCTTCAGTCTGAGCCTACTGCAGGCTGCATTTATGCTTTTTAAACTCTGCAATAATAGTGGCATAAAAAGATGTTAGATAAAGCTTCAAACTCTTGTTCTTGATCCTCTTTTCTGGGGTGAGGATTAGGAGGAACAAGGAAAGCCTAGGCATGATGTTGAGCTGCTACTGAGGAGCCAAGCGCCCAGATGTGGTGACATCTGGGAAGGAACCAGACGGACACTGCCTCTAGGAAAGTCTGGCCACTGCGGTCAGTCCTTCCTGTTTCATTTAGGAAATACTTTTTGTGAAGTCACTCTTATTCCAATGCCCTCTCTTCAGTAAACATGTTTTCTCCCTTTCTTAAGGCAAAGCAGAGAGCAGAGGTACTTCAGTCAACCCAGAGATTCTTTTCTGAGCAGCAGCAGCAGCAGAGCAAACCCATAGGAGGCAAAGCGCAGAAAGTGGACGAGAACGGGAGCAAACCCACCGAGGCAATTGCTGACTCTTCAGGAGTCTGCCAGGACAAAGCCGAGGAAAAGCCAACCCCTGCTCCTGCTGCGGCAACAAAACCTGTTAGAACTGGACCAATCAAACCTCAGGCAATCAAAACTGAAGAAACAAAATCTTAGGAGGCTGTGTTTCCAGGGAGGTGGGGGAAGAGGGGAGGGTGAGTGAGATGACAGCAGCATGAATTTGTAGCCCAAAGGATGAGATAGCAGTCTTCTCTCCCTGCAGGGCTCTGAACAGCATAAAGGGACATAGAAGCTATCGGCCGTTACGGATGCAAACTGCTGTGTATCCAGCTGAGCTTCTAGGCTCTTTGGGCTTGTATCTTCTCTAACAGCATGAAGGCTGCTTTTGGTGTGTGCACGTTCTACACGTGTGCGCATGTTTTGGCTTGCACGCCTGTATGCTTCCCAAAGTGGAAAAAAAATTGAGAAATGGCACTGCCGGGGAAGAAGGTGGTCAGGGAGGCATGTTTCTAGCTGACAAGATGAATAATCTTATTTTCTTCAGGCACTGATCTTCAGCTGCTATTTATCTTTTTGTAAACCTGTGAGTATGAGAACATGCAGCTCTGAAGATGGTGCTGGGCCAAGTAATGTGTGTTAAGCTTCTATCTTGTAATAAACAGAGGGATTCATACAGCTGGCAAAATTGCCTTTGCCATCTGACATCTAACCTAATGTAACACAAAGAGTAATGCTGATGATGAATTTCCCTCTGAAGGCAGTGCTTTGCTGGCTGCTGCTTCTTGGGTGACAATATACTGTATTTAGATCACCATATGAAAATGCTACTTGGCCACCTGTGTTCTCTACAACCGCTCCCCCTTCAGTTGTTCACCTTTGGAGTTGAAAGGTTCATTGCATCAATAGTCAAATTTGTTCTGTTCACCTTTGTCCAGCTATCTTTCTATGATGCGAGTGATCTTTAAACGGTTTCCAGCTTATGTCTGTATACAGCAACGAGCACTTAGAACTGTGCCACGAGAATAAAAGAAACCTTACCGGATTAAAGAGTTTTCTCTAAAAGGTGCATTCTTTATATCAGAGCTGCGTCGCACCACCTCCTTGCCCACAGTGTGCTGGAAAGTAGAATCAAGTCAAATAAATGCCTTTTTAATTGTATCCTCTAGTATTATAGCTGTAGGACAGTACTGTATGATACTTCTGTGAATGTAAGATATCCTGTACCTGCTTATGATATGTAGTAGTGACTGTGCTATACTGGAGCTGTTTTTAATAATGTTATTCTAGAGGTTTTTTTCCAGACAATGATTGAAAAAGCTAATAAAAAGCACCAGGTACCACATCAGTAGCAGAATTTGCTGGTTTTTTTCTGGGATTTTTTTTTTTTTTACATTTTTTGGAAGGAAGAGTGAGTTGAAAGTCTAATGTGTATAATTTTGTTCAAATGACTGCAGAAGCTGGAAAGGCTGTTGCTGCTATTGATGCCTAGTGAATTGCTATTCGTTATCTTTTTATATAAATATATATATAATTTGAATTTTTGGAAACTTTAGCTGTGATGTCAACTTTGGAAAAAAGTATCCCACTTGTAGTGTGAGTTGGCATTGTACAGAAATTAACAGCCATATTGGTCTAGAAATGTTAAACTTAATTTTTTTTTCCCATTTGTACAGGGGTAACGCACTGTATTAAATATGTACGGTCTTATTTACATGGGTTTGATTACAGAAACTAATAAAGTATTCTCTAAATAAAGTATCCGGGTAATCTCATGATTAGTGCAGTGCTGCAGGATGCAAGGAGAGCACCTGAACATCATGTGCCACGTGAATGACAGCTTGGGAAAACAGACTTCTAAAGAAAAACGCTTTGAAGCAGCTTGTTTTTGTTTCCCCCGGCACTTTTGATCTCATTCTCCAGCGGAGGTCTCACAGGACATGGCTTCCATCCAGCTCTGCAAGGAACCTGCCGGTTGCATTTGCCAGATGTTACATCTCCGGCGTGTTGGTGAGCTGTCTGGTGCTGGAGACTTGCGTTCTCGTTCTGAGAGAAGAGCTGCTCGTCGGAGGAGACCAGGATGAACCCAGCTGGTTACTCATTTTAGCTGGTGGGTGACTACTTCCTTGACAGGAGCCTTCCCAAGGATGCGGGAGGATTCCTTCTTGTGCTGCTCCTGAACTGCTCCCTTCCCAACTTGCTACCAAGCAACGCACGCTTGCCACCACACATTCAAATCACACAATTACTGGTTCATGCCCTTAAGCGTGGGGTGGAATGACGGGTTAAGTGTCCTTTGGTTGCAGAGGTGAAGGCATCCCTGCCTCCCTGGGCTCCCTGCCCTGGGCCTGCAGGGTTATGAAGAGGCAGGATGCTCTCAGCTGGCCACCGAGGGAACTTGGTTCATAAGGAACGCCAAAACCTTCTTGTGTTTGGTCTCCGAGAGGTAATTCCTGCCTGGAGAGAAGGTGCTGGCTAGCATGGCACCTCCAACGAGTGCGGAGGAAGGAAAGGCAGCTGCAGGTGTCGGGGTTGTTCTGCTGGCATCGCAGGGAGTCCTGGTTCACCTTTGGTCAGGGGGTTGCCGCTGGCCTGGTGACAGGTCAGAGCGGGCAGCCCTGCCTGTGCTTGGCTGAGTGGGAATTGGAGGTCTGGAGCCCTCTCCTACCCCTGCTAAAAGAACAGACCTGGGCAGAACTGCAGCAGTGTGGAGTAAATGAAGGTGCTGTTATCCACAAAGGGAGTGAGGGGCAGAAGTCACCTCCGAGCAGGTACCACCACAGGTAAAACGCCTGTTTTGCAGGAAGGGTACAAGCGCAGCTACAGGAAGCACTCAGGGACGGGAGGACGAAGGCAGGGAAGTGAGTGAATGTAGTCATTGGTTTGGAGTATGAGTTATAAAAGAGTAACTGGGTTATGGTGACACTTGCCTGTTTTGAGGTTATCTTCTGCCTGGTTCGTATTGGAAAGACCCCCTAAAAATGGGAAATCGTTCACTGGACTGTTCTATTTTTAAGGAAATGCTGATGAAAGGATTAGTCTTAAATGCTCCAGTAAAGCCATTAGAAAAGCCAGATGAATTTCCCACAGTCGGCTGTGGGAACGTACCAAGCTAGTGGCCGTTTCTTGCGCTGAGCAGAACCAGAATACTTCTGCAGAAACCTAACTAAAAGCAAATGCTTGGGCATTTTGTGCATCCGAACAACCCTATTTTGGATGTGTGCCTCTGCAAAACAGCCCCAAACCACCCCGGCTGCCTTTGAGGCCAGGTTGAGCTTTCAGTCACTGACCCAGGTTCACTGAATATTTTTATGACACTTAACCAGATAACTTGCTCCTGGCCATTTACGCTGGAATAGATCTTGCTTTTTTAATTTGAGTGGGATTTGGCATGTAATCTCTTTTCTAAGACTCCGGTCATGAGAAATAATTGTGCTGAACCTCACATAAATTAGGGAACTATTTTCTTTGGGGAACTCACTTTTTTTTTTTTCCCCTTAACATTTGGTCTGTGTAAAGACTGTAACTTCTCTCAAGGGGTTACAGAAGGGGGTTAATGTGATTGGGGACAGATCCAGCAACCCCCCCTTCGGCTCAGGCCCGGCTTCTTGCTGGGATGCGGGAGGGGAGGGACGCTTGGGGCTTGTTTTTGCAAAGCTTGTTAAGTAAAGCTGTGTATTCAGTGCTGTTCAGCTCCAGCCTCGCTTTCTGGAAATCCTGTGTACATTGGCTTGTCTTCGGTTATTTTCTTAGTCAATTAAGTGATGGACCCCAGCGCGGGCAGTGAGCACGGAGGCGGGAAGGGCTGGGGCTGTTTGCCCTTGGCGTCTCCGCTCACTGAGGGGCCTTTGGTGCTGCTGCTCCCCGGGGAGCCCTGAACAAGCCCTCCCTTTCATGCTGGGGCTCGACCCACGCCTCTGGGGAGCTGCGGGGTGAAGGAGGGCTCCAGCCTCGCTTCCCATCCTGTTTTGGGACAGAAATGCTGTTCTCCGATCCTCGGCGGCAGGTTTTGCTGTGCGTTGGGCAGGCAGCCCCCGGCTGGGTCGGGTCAGGGCTGCGCAGGCAGGGGCTGCCTGCTGCCTGCCTCCCTCTGCCTGGCCCCGGTGGGTACACGACAGCCCCTGCCTGCTCCTGGGTGACCCCCATTCCTGCCCCTTCACCCCCAGCTTTACCACCCTGCCTCTCGCCTGGGCCTTGCCTGTGTTTCTCTGCACCGGGGCCCAGACAACCGCCCATCCTGGGTGGGTTTTTGCAGCAGGACAGACGGACGCTGTGGGGTAGAGACTGCTCCCCAGGGCAGGGCTATGCACCCCTCGTTTCCGAGGCCAGAGGAGCCCGTAACGCACCGCTAGTTTATTGCAGCAGCTGGGGTCTGTCGCGGTGGGTGCCCTCTCCCCCATCCCTCCTGCCCCACGCTGCCCCTGGCGTGGACCAGCCACCTGGAGCTCATTAATCTTTCCCATTTGGTAAATCTCCGGAGTTCAATGCTAAAGCTTTGCCTTTTATTCTGATTTAACGGCGCAGCCCCTCTTCATGCTAAATAAAGGTGCTCCTGGGGTTGGCCTCACCAGCAGCCGCCTCCCAAATGTGATATTTTCCCGGCCAAAGCTTTACAGCTCCCCCCCAGCACCTTCAGCCTGTCAGTACAGCGAGGGTGGCACCAGCGCTGCACCCCCCCTCCGGACTCCAGCCCACCAAACCCCCAGGAAAACCCAGGCTCGGAAAGATGAGGGAGCAAGGCAGCAATGGCGGGGGGGGATGTTTATTTGGCCAGGGCCCTGCGCA